ATAAATGCCAAAGGCCCTGCAATGAATAGCAGGGATGAATGCCCGGAGGTCGTACGCGACCTGATCCCGTATGTTCGCATCGATTTTTGATGTGGGATGGTGCAGTCGTCAACCACATGCGACTATAATCAGCTGTTCTAAACTTCCTTATTGGAAGTCACGAAAAAAGCGGTGGGTTTTTCGAGAAGTTGTTGATTATGTAGTTACCATAGAGTTTTTCGTCTTTTTGTAAGTGTCATTGAAGCGTTTGGCCTAGTAGATTGTATATCAGCATACCCTTCCAGGCTCTGAAGAAGGCGATACTGCCGAAATGTCAGCTAGCGTTGTATTGTATTGTGTTTCTCTACGGTAATAAATGTATGCTGTTTAGAAACCTCGCGATTGCTGAACAAGAAAACGACACATTCATATTCCAATGCCGAGGTTAATAGAAAGTCGATCCTGGGAACTGTGAACAGCATTATCCATACTGATCCACTTAATACCTCTCAACAGCTCACCGCTTCATCATGGCTGGGAGGTTTTCCTCGGTTTAGGGCCGCGATATGAAGCGGAAAGATTCATCCCTACCCGGCAAGGTCTCCCAAGTCGACAATCCGGCGTTTCCATCAGGAAGCCCAGCTGAGAGTAAGCGAATATCAGAATCATTATCCACCACTGACCTGGTGTTAAACCAACCGCATGGTGGCAAATCTCTCTGTGATCCACAAGGGCGGTAAATGCTTGTGGTGGCAACGATCTGGGGCAGATCTTAGCCAGTCTGACTTCGGGACTCCAAGAAACCACAATGGTTAAACCAGTAAAACTCCGAAAAATGGAGATTATGCTGAAGTACACGGAACCAGTGAGGACGTGTCGCTTAAGTATCCAAGTAAGTTCTACTTAATAATATTCAACTAGTCATTAACAAAACTAAAGATAATCCCCTAATTACAAGTTGTTTAAAACAAGGACCGCACCAACCTCTCTTCAAATCTCGGCCTAAGATGAAAAATTCGCCATTAGCTCTTGTTTGCTTCCTGTTTTTCCCATCCTCTTTCTTCACCCCTCGTTTTCTCCCTTACTATCTTCAACTAAGTAGGACGATAGGATTAGAAAGCAAGGAAGAAATGTACAAATTTAGAGTCTTATACATAATACCAGCCGAGATACAAGCGAAGGAACAAAACTCACTTAACTGCAGCCTTAACAGTTGCGAACATGCATCTGTTGAACACCACAAAAGACTGCGACTGTAGCATCTGAAAGGGGAAGAGCATTTTGGAAGCTTGTCGACAAAAAAGGAAACGTATGCAGTCGGCAAAACACGTTCTGCCACACAAAGAAGAGTCCATAGGTTCTGGCTAGTAAGCTAAAGAAATAAAACCTGAAAACAATGGGTTCAACATTGGCCCGCAACTTTGGCAGGTAAGACATGCTTTTAATGGTTGTCGTCAAATATGGTGTTTCGAGAATTGCGGATATTTTCTTCTAATTGACGGATAATAATTGTGATTGCTCTCACGTAACCCTCGGTTAGTAAGGAAGTTACTTGTAAGGAGACTTTCTTTTCGAAGTATTCATGTTCCAGAAAAAAAAGCAAAAGCTAAGGGGTTTGACGTTTTTCCAGATAATGTGAGATTCTCTTCCTTTCGCTTTGAAGTTATGTTCCGTTACGCCATGCTTGAGGTGAAATATGTTTTTCAGAAATTTGACACCAGCAGGGGGCGTGTTTACTATTCGTTATTGCTTGCTAGGTATTCAAGATGAGTGCAGTTCCTGATACAATAAGCTTTCCGGATGAAGAGGAGAAGATTTTGAAAGTCTGGAACGAAAATGAAACGTTCAAAAGGTCTTTGAAGTAAGTTGTATCCTCACATCTAATCAATGGATAATATGAATGGCTCATTCTGTCCTCTTTTAGACTGGCAAAGGACCGACCACATTTCACATTCTTCGACGGCCCTCCATTTGCCACTGGTCTACCTCACTATGGCCACATACTTGCTGGCACCATAAAGGTTTGTGTGTTTTAATTGACCGCTTTAGGGACGTACTGCTGAATTGGAATGATTAATCAGTGAAGAAGATGAAGATATCAGTGAAGAGGATCTTCTGAGTTTTCTCACTTATGGATGCTCGTTCATTTCTGAGAGTTGTTTATAAGGCCTTCAGCGAAGGGAAGGGTTTATGAGACTTTTGCTAATGAGGACATTTCGCTTAGTTGAACAATATCCTTAATTGTTCAGGATGTAGTAACAAGATGGGCACACCAGAACGGTTTTTACGTTGAGCGACGTTTTGGATGGGATACTCACGGACTCCCGGTGGTCAGTTTATGTTCATTTATCAAGAGATTGCTTAGATTTGTAGTTTGACTGAGACCAGCCTTACCGTCTTACCGAATTAAGGAGTACGAAGTGGACAGAGCATTGGGTGTAAAGTCTCCTAGTGACATTTACGAAATGGGAATTGATAAATACAACGCAGAGTGCAGAAAGATTGTCATGCGATATGCAGGAGTAAGTTTCCATCATTCCATTTAAAGACTTAAGTAGTGACTATCTGAGAATACAATTATACTGAGATATTTGCAAAACTCTTGACCGCAGGTGTTAGCGGTGGGGATCGAACACGCTATTACCCTTTCCGAGGTCTGACGGACCATCACACCATGCGAGTCCTTTGTTTTGCCTGTCTGTCAGATAATTTTCTATCTACTGTTTTCGTCAGCAGTTGCTGAGAGACGAGAAACGAAGGAACTGCATGGTGTGATGGTGAACGCGTTAGCCCTCGGAAAGGGTTACAGCATGTTCGATCCCCACCGCAGACACTTTCGGTGCGGAGTTTTGAAATAGTTATATCGACACCGTTGTGGTTATATTTCACGTTATACCCTGCGGTGAAAAATTGTAGTAGGCAATAAATAAAAGCTTAAAATAAGTTTGTTTGGTGATAATTAGGCGTAATTGTATCATGTACTTACGTCGTTTCGCTTATTGAATAGTTTTTCGCACATCAGGAATGGGAAACTGTAGTAAATCGCATGGGTCGTTGGATAGATTTCCGCAATGACTACAAGACCCTTTATCCTTGGTTTATGGAAAGCGTCTGGTGGGTCTTCAGTGAACTCTTTAAGAAAGGGCTTGTTTACAGAGGAGTAAAGGTTAGGAGTCATACCTTAAGTTTTATTCAAGAAATACGGAGATTTCGTTCTTTATTTGTAAATATATTTAAAGGTGATGCCATTCTCTACATCATGTAACACTCCGCTTAGTAATTTCGAAGCTGGGCAGAATTACAAAGATGTTGTAGATCCAGCTGGTTAGCCAATTCTCTATGGTTTCTCGAAAACTGACACGTATATAACTTATTTTGTTAAGGTTTCGGAAACGTCAATTTTTATGGATTGATCTTCTTTTTTTAATGGCCATAACCTTTCCAGTTTTCATCGGTTTCCGTCTGGATCAAAACCGGAACCGCATGATGGTGGCGTGGACAACAACTCCATGGACGCTGCCAAGTAATTTAGCACTCTGTGTGCATCCAGATCTGGACTACGTAGTTGTCAAAGGTTCTTTTTTGTATAAAATGCCTAAAAGTCGTGAAATATGTGAAACAGAGGCTAAAACAGAGAATTAAATAAATGGATTAAAGTGGTTTTATCAATAAGAGGGAGTGTTATGCCTGCGTGAAATTCTTTCTCTTTCACAGAAAAGTTTTTGGAGCATAGTTGTTTGGTTCCGCCATAAATGTTGGCAAGGTTTTAACTCGCGAGGCTTCATGGTCCTTATGAAGTGGTAGATAGAGAGGAAACCATGGATCGAAAGCGGCTATGGACTTTCCATTGAAAGCAGTGTTATTAGCCCTGAACTCTTTCTCATTTCGGTGTAACTTCGCCTTCTACGTTAGGTGTAATGCTCATGTGCTTGTCCGCATAAGTGGTTTGACAATGAGCCTGTTGGGAAGTGACAGTGTATAGAGGGCGATTTTTCGTCTTCTCCAACAAAAAGTCCACTGTTAACTATGCCTATGGCGGACAAATGCCTATGGCTCAACCAATTCTCCATACTAAACACTGGATATAAGGAATTCGGAAAGATTCTGGCATTGAAGACAAATACTACGTTCTTTATGAATTACAAGCTATAGCACCGCACTATAAAGTCTGATCATTGAGTAGTCAACGGAGGTGCAAATTGTACAGAACAGGTAGAGGTTGTCTGCATACATCACGCTTATGATATAGGCAGTGTTTGGTAAAGTAATTGATTGGTGCGAATTCAACGACTGCATATGCAAATTTCTCTACGACTGAGCTGTCATGAGGTTGATGTAAAAGGTCGTAACACGGTAAAAAGAAAACTCTCAGCGTCGATCTATCCCTGAGGGACGCGCCACGCATTGGACTTCTTTAAGCATCTGAAGGTGATAGAATGCATATCTGGCCTTAACAATCACTCGCGGTGACCTACCGACGTATGGAGACAATGCTGCTGTTCTCCCAGACAGGTCTGGTACCAATTTGCCGACCCTGGAGCCATGGAAGGCTTGGTGAGCCTGAGGCGCGGAGACCGGTCTCATGTATATTACAGGGGCCTGTCACACACACACTCCTATAACACGGTATATAGAAAATTGATTATTGTTGCCTAGATTTAGTGAAAGTCATTTTTTGAGACTCTTGACTGTGTATGTGTTATATGAGTAGGTATCACCCGTATCACCTGTAGTCCCGTTGATCTTCGAGTGACTCGAGCGAGCTTCAGTAAATCTTCCATTTTTCCCTGTCGCGTGCAAGAGTAGCCCAGTGTGTTCTGCTCGCTCTAGGGACTCGTCGAGCATCATATCTTTCTTCAAGGCTCTTTGTGAAGAACTCTGACCGTCGGGTCGGTGGTCTTCGTGCAGTGAGTTTGACATCCAGAGGAACCCAGTGACTAACGGCTCTTGTCCGTCGGTTGTCATTCAGCCGCATTACGTGTCCCGCCCACCTTATCTTCGACTATTTGGGGCAGAGAACGGCATCCTTGATCGTGATCGTTGACGCAGGTTAGAGCTTTGGATCCCTTCCCTTACTTGTGTGAAACGGGATAGTCCTAGCATCGTCCTTTCCACTGCGCGCTCAATAGCGCTGTGATCTTTCATCCTGCTTACGCAGCGACCAGGTTTTTGACGCATACGTTAGGACAAGAAGTGCTGTTGAGTCGAAAAGGCGGGCACGGAGTCGGGTGTTCTTTTTTCTCTTCACTACACCCTCGATGCACTTGAAAGCTCTCCATGCCGCTCGTTTCCTTCTCATCTCTGGAGCTAAGTCGTTCAACATGTTGATTTCCCAACCTAGATAGACATAGCTGGAGCATGCGGAGGTATCCGTTCCGTTGACCGTGAACGGGACATACGAGATCACTCCGTTCCTCAAGAACAGTGTTGTTGTGAGATTTAGTCGAAGACCAGTTTTTCCACAGGTTTTATCAAAGTCGGCAAGCATACGTTCCGCTTGACTAATGTTTGGTGTTATAAAGACAATGTCATTACCAAAGCGAAGATGATGTAACTGCCGACCATCGATTTTCACTCCCATATTATCCCATTCTAGTGTTCGCATGACGTTCTGGAGGGTGGTGGCAAATAGTTTTGGCGAGATTGTATCGCCTTGCCTAACTCCTGTTTTGACGTCGATGTTAATATCGTTGTAGAATGGTGATACCTTGGTTGTGAAATTTTTGTACAGCTCACGAAGGATCTTTATGTACTGAGTAGGGATGGCTTGGCTATCAAGGACTTCCATGATTACTTCTGCCTGAGTTGAGTCAAATGCCTTATGTAAATCGATAAAAGTGAGGTAGACCGGTCTTTTCTGCTTTCGCAATACTACATTGAGTTTTGTTATTGTGTGAATGTGGTCCATCGTACTAAATCCTTTTCGAAATCCTGCTTGCTCACATGGCTGTCCTTCGTCTAGTGTTCTGGCAATCCTGTTTAGGATGACTCGAGTGAAAAGTTTGTAGACGACAGACAGTAAGCAGATTGGGCGATAGCTGCCGATATCGTGCAGGTCAACCCTTCTTGAACAATAACACGGTCTTGTTGGTCTTCCACTGGGTAGAGACCTTGCATTCAGACAGGTAACGTGTGAAGAGCAGAGTCAGTGTGTTTACAAGGACTGGCGGAAGGTTCTTCAGGTTCTCTGATCTTATCCTGTCCTGACCTGGTGCTGTTCGATTGCTCACCGACGAAATGGCATCTCGGATTTCGGAAGAGAGAACCGGTAGTACAACATACCCATCTTCCTTTATTTCATATGATGGAGGGTGGACGTGCCTATCAAAGAGATCCGAGTAGTATTCGTGAATGATTTTCTCCATTGCCTCCCTGGACGCTGTAACTGTTGGGTCTGAGCGTCGTAGTTTAATCAGTTCAGTCTTCTAATTGGCAAAGCTACGGTGGACTTTGCGGAAGCTTTTCCCAGCCTCTGCAGCTTCGACCATATCTGCTGCTCCTCCTTCTTTTATTACCTGCCTGCATTAGTTTGCAAGTTCGGACATGAGCTGGCGGTTGCCTGTAGCTCATGCGATTGAATACTGGCGTATCAGCTCGAGCGTTTTTACAGACAGACGTCTCTTGGTAACTTTCGAACTCTCAGCCTTCATAGCGCTAACGCGAAGATGTTGAATGAGCCGATCGTATTCTTCGTCGACGTTATCGAGAAAGTCATTATCCCAATAGGCGACTAATGAATCGGATAAATCCTAGTTTATGGGGGTTTTGGGACTTCGTTTTTCTGAGTTTAGCGTTTTTTATCCTTTCCACGAGAAATGAAATCTTGCACGAAGGAGGTGATGGTCTGATCCGTTGTGGAATTTTGGGACAACAGTGACATCATTTAAGCAAAACCTTCGATTTACTATGATTTGGTCTATTTCCCTATCGTACTCTCCATTTGAAGACCGACACGTTGAGCGTTGGTGGTTGAACTTCTCGAATAGGACAGCACGTACCGCCAGCGAAATAGATGGGCCGGTTATATAAAAAGAACAGATGATGGACGGAAAGAACAATGGAATAGACTCCAAAAGAATGCATCTGTGCTCTTCGATGAGCACCCAAACATGGGTACGCGTGTTCGTGACTAACGTCAACCATTTGCATTCACAGATGAAGACACTTTTAGGAAATCGGAGTGTGCTTCGCGGACGTCACCATACTCAAAGAAGACTACCAGCAAGGACGACGATTGAGCGAGAGAAAAACGAATGGAAATTATGCTAGAGCCAGTGCCACTAGTGAACTCGGGTCCTCCATTTACCCAAGTAAATATAATGTTAACTTCTTATTTACTGCCCACTACAATTTTTCACGGCAGGGTATTACGTGAATTACAACCACAATGATGCTGAGATGTTTGCAAAACTCCAGACCGCAGGTGTCTGCGGTGGAGATCGGACCCATTATTACCCTTTCCCTGGGCTAACATATTCACCACCACATCATGGTATTATGTGACAGTAACATCTTGCAGTGAAAAACTGTTGTAGGCAGTAAATAAAAAGGAAACGTTGTGATTTCGACTACAGCCTCAGCTTAGTTGGATTCAATGCCGATTTGTGCTCCTAAGGTTAATCCCGTTGATGGGGTGATTGCTGATGGCACTGGTGATAGAAAACTAGTCGAGAGAAAGGTGAAACGAAAGACCTCCATGGTGTGGTGGTGGATACGTTAACCCCGGGAAAGGGTAATAACGGGTTCAATCTCCACCACAGACACCTGCGGTCCGGAGTTTTGCAAATATCTCAGCATCATCGTGGTTGTAAGCGTATTTATCGCAAAACCCATTGTCTCTGTGGAGAAAAAAAAACTTCGAACAATGACAGTTTATGTCACGACCGTACAGCAATTTCAGTGAAAATTTTCCATTTCGACATTAACGCTCTATAATGATACTCAGGTTACAATTTGAAGATGGTCAATGACACTGTTCAGTAATTAAATACATATACATACACAACAAACTGTAAAATGTACATACCTGCATGCTCCTCTTGTCGTCTACTTCGTCTCCTCTAGGTGTGTTATAGGGAATAAACCACGGTTGCGCAGTTGTCATTACGAAAACGAAGAGCTTAATAAAACAATCTAGTCGGACTAAAATGTCGAAAACGATTTGTACAGACAAGATCTTAATGATGAATTTGGAAGTCAAACAAGTAAACTTATTACAAACTGGCACGTTTCTTTAATAGAACTGTTGCGATGCAATTCGACACACACACATCATAGGTTTTAACACTTCGAAAATTAGATTCATGTGGATGAAGCACCTATTTAACGTCTAGCTTTTCGACGCATTCTCTATGAGTGGATATAAACTTATAAGGGCCCAACTGACCCTAGCAAATAGGTGCGTCTCCTTTGTTGTACTTCTGTCTCTGTAATACGGTGCTACACAATTACGTTGCTGTCGCGATATGGTACTTAATTCAAAAACAGGAATTTTTTGAATAAAAACCTATTCAATGAGATGAGCAGGATTAATCAGTGATGTGAAATGAACTAATAACCAACTACTGGTCAAAATTAATTCTACACGTTCAGTATATAGTAAACGATACTAGTTTTTCGAGGACTTCTAGTAATTTAAATAAAGCGCTTGACGAGCTGAGAACTTCATAAACTTATAGAACGGACTTCACTCTATCGATATATAGGCGTGTGAAACATTGATAAATGTTATTTTCATTTCAAGTTTTGTCTAAAACAAATCCTCGAAAAGCGGAAAAGCAACATCAAAACCATTCCTGCCAGCAACAGAGAAAAAAAATTCCATCCGACGACAACAAAAAAAGTTCCTCTCTTGGTCGTACAGATATGTTGATTTCGACGGACTTTACCGTGATTAATGGAGTTCGTTACGAGATAAGATATGTTTGATACTGCCAATGCAAGAAATACTGTCAAGACTGCTTCAGCAGTTGACATAACTTTTGTTAATTATAGGAATTCTAGATTGCAAAGATTGTATGTGGAACGTGTGAACTAGAAGCATTGCTGGCTATAATAAAGGTCAGTTATATATAAAGCACTGCAAAGATTGTACCGAATTCCAACTATACAAGTTATAAGCCGTGAACAATGGAAGATCGCCCCAACTGCAGAAGGTTAGTGACATACAGCGGAAAACATCCTTCCCAAACGGCAACTATCCCTCTACTGCCTGCACTCCTAACGAGGAAAAGTCTCTCGCCAGCGAAATTAATCCTTTCGGAACACATTTTCTTTGCCAATTGTTAAATATACAGAATAGGTCCCCGGTTATATGCCCAACACAATGGTCTGCGTTGAATAATCTATTGACTGGCTAGAAAAGTGCAATAAAGAATCTTTACACGGAAAAACAAAGTGCATACAAACTTATGTCGGTCAAATTGCCATACTCTTCCTTCCCGTCCCTCTCACTATGAGTGAGAATTCACCCATTCGGTCTCAGAGTGCTAAACAGGCTCGAATTGAATTTAAAAAATTAGTCACAATATGTACTGATTTCATCTCACACGTCGTCGAAAATAATTTAACCTTTCAACTTGAAACAAACATGTCTCAAGTCATAGTGAACTTTATCATATAAAACGAAAATCATTAGTATCAACAGAGATTTTCCAGTGAGGCGCCTACTCTGTCACAATGAAAATATGAAATTCTGGACTGAATCGCTTTTTTTTTGTAGAGTGTAGCGACAGAATGAGCACGCCTTGGTCCAGCAGGACGCACAGGTATCCCCTAACGCGTCATCAACGGTCCGCTACTGCACATGCATTGAGAAACCAAACTCTCTACCGTACTAATAGTTATGTGTTCCAACGATATGTTAGAAAAATTATATACACGTTTAGAGCGACAGGAGGGAGTTTCTTGTATAAGCTTGCGAAATCTAAAGTCATCAAAAAATTATCAGCAGTTATTAAAACACCAGTATCGAGTCGAAAGTAAGAGTAACGATACCAATAACGATTTAAACAAACAGCAACAGATCGAATAGCTTATATTCATTTAACCAACATTATCATCCCAAGTTGTCCTTACAGGTAACATTGCTATTGTTCCAACGTATACTCAACACTAGCAGAGCGCTTTTTGCATTATAAACGACAACAAAAAGATACCTGAGTGCTACCCATAATGGCGAGCTGTCCCAAAACACTGCAAATGCTGGCGGCTGATAAAAGTCGTGTAGGTGGTGGTGTAGGGTAAAGCTTTTCATAAGCTGATGTGTTTCCAAATAAAACGGCTAGCAGTGTAATTAAGAACATGTCGATATACATGAACTGTAACAAGTTGGAATTCAAGAGAGGAACAGAAGTAACTATAAACCTTAAGACAGAAAAACCTAGCGAACCTGCCCGTCTGTAAGTATGTTTGAAATGTAATACAGAAGCATCACAGTAACAAACTGCGTCAAGGAGTAACCAGCCATGTACTTGAAAATTCCAAAAGACGTTACGAGAGCTGCTCGCCCTTCGCTGATGACCATCGGCACACAACGAATATCCGCCACCTGCGAGTGAACACTCGAAGATATGAAAATAAATAACATAGAAAACAATCCAACTTTTGATGTGAATGGAGCAGCAATTGATGCTTCTGCATCTGAGAGCGATATGCCTGCATGAGCTGCCTACAAACAAAGAAAATTTCATCAAGTGAAAAAGACAGATAAGAATGTCTCAACCACCTTTAAAGCGGCACAGTCATTAGCGCCATCTCCACACATAGCCACTGTATAACCAATTTCTTGAAGACCGTTCACCAGCTGTTGCTTTTGATCAGGAGCCATCCGAGCAAACACATCACATATACACACCAGTGAGGGAAGGATGTCAGGATATTCGTGAGAAATAACGGCAAATGTAGGACCTTACAAATTGCACTTCTTATACACAACTTCTGAGTGAAAACAATAAAGCAAAATCTTTTCAAAATAAGTTTAGGAGCCCAAAAAGAAAAAGAAGAAAGGAGAAAAAGAAATGAAAAATAAGAAAAAAGAAAAGAAAAGAAGAAAAAGAGGAAGAAAAGGAGAAGAAAAGAATAGAAAGAAGAAAGAAAAAAGAAGGACAAGAAAAAGAAAAAAAGAAGAGGAAGAAACATGCGACGCGATTAAATTAAACCTGATATAGCGAAGTGATAGCTGTTTTTTATTAGCTTTCCTTTCTCCACATCTATTCCATTTTTAGAGAAAATAGTATCATCTTCTAACAGCTCACCAGACGAAGAGACTGACTAAAACATAAAAACAGTTTCCTTTAGAAATATTCAAAATTCGAAAACAACCCCTATTCCAGAGAAAAAAAGTGGAAAACAACTCTTTTGAATAAAACACACCTGCTTGACAACAATTTTAGTCCTCCCAATTGAATCGACCTCACCAGCACAATGCTCTATGAGGAAAGCTCGTTTATCTGATTTTATTATACCACATTCCCGCGCTACACTCATTGCAGTGAGCAGATTATCACCGGTTACCATAACTGTTCTAATCCGAGCTCTAAAATTTTCCCTAGAATTTCAAACAAAAGAAAAAGGAAACGTGAACAAAAAATGGTTAGAAGTCGAAACATATAGAGTTAGGCACAGCGACAAAATCACTATTAACAAACCGATTTAACTCATTGATTACACCCAACGTTACTGGTTTTATACGGTTTTCCATTGCGATCAGACCCAAAAGCTCCAAATTACATTCCACCTGAAAACGATTGCCTGTCACGATCCTGTCTACAATGGCACAAGTAAACACAGTAGTATTTAGATTTTAATTAATACACATGTATATGCTAGTTACTATTCACAAAGCCACGGATCTCCTTCATAAAGGGATCTCATGCCAGTTAGTGGTGAGGTAACGTGGCTCATCCTTGGGTACAGGATAGGGAGTTGATCGCGGACTAAGGGAGACCTTATGTTTTCCTAAGAAGCCGTAAGATCTAGGTGATGGACGCCCTGTTTGTGCTCCGCCGATTTAGCACATACCTTATGTGTTTACGAGGACCCATTCATGCGTGGACGGATGTGTTCTCGTTTACGCCGAATGTATTCTGCGAATTCATTCGGCCAAACGCCTGAAGTGACAAAGGAGTATATGGGAGGAGGTTAGGAGTCGCCTCCAACAACTAAGTTTCCTGTCTACTTTCGGAGATTCCGGGAAGCTACTGAGTATATGCAGGCCTATGCTCAAAGCTCAACAAGCTATACGTGGGTATGTAAAAACTGAACACAGTAAAATAGACGAGTTTCAATCCCTTGACTCCGAAAGAGCCCCAGATACGGCAGCGTTGGGTCAGGCGAGTACGGAGATGTTGCTAAAATCTCAGGGACATCACAGGCCGCCTAAATAGCAAAGGACTAAGCTGAAGATCTGTACCTATGATGCACGCACACTTGCAGCTGAGACTTCCATAGAAGACTTAATCATGCAGACAAGAAGGATAAGGTACGACGTCAACGGACTGACTAAAACGAGAAGACGTCACCCATTGAACGCCGTCTGTAACACTGGATAAGAACTGTTCCTCGGAATATGCGACAGCAGGGAGTTGGCGGCGTTGGCGTTCTCTCCAACACGAGTTTGGCCATTAACGCCAATTCATTTGAACAACTAATAACCCGAATGGAATGTTTTCAGAAGAAGGGATATCGACCAATATCGACTTTGATAATCTTCGTCGTCTACGCACCAACACCCAGCTTTTATGACAATGAAGTCGAAATCTTCTACACAGATTTGAAGAAGTTCTACGGGGAAACCTCTCCTACATTTTCCGAGACCATCATTGGAGATTTCAAAGCTACAAATGGATCCATAAGAATGTCTGAAAAACGTCACATTTAAACCCATGGATTAAAATGGAGTTAGAAGGGTGAGCACTTGTTCGAGTTTACCACGAAGACCAAGATCGTTCATGGTAGCTCGCAATTCCAGAAGCCCCGCTCTCAACGCTGAACGTACGAGCCTCCTAATTGAGAGTACTACAACGAAATAAACCACATCCTAGTAAATCGAAGGATATTTCTAACTGTTATCTTATGTCGCTGTTATGCTAAAATTCTAAACGCGATCAGGCAATCGTCTCTCGCGCAAGATATTTCTCGTGGAAAGGAGGAAAAGCCGTTGAAAGTCGCTAAATCCAAAAAACTAGGTTCGAAAACCTCCATAAACTGGTATTTATTCAGGTTATTAGTCGCCTGTTAGGAAGACGCTGTTGTTGACAACATCGACGAGGAATACGATTGACCCATTCAACATCTTAGTGCCATGACAGTTGAGAGTTCGACAGTCATCTCGGTCTCCATAACACTCTTATAAACAGCATGCGACTGAACTCCTTGAATAAGCATAAGACATAAAAACAGTGTTCTAAAAAAAAACTGTTTTCCATGTTTCTGTTAGGATTATGGAAGCATTTGGGTGAGCACATTGAGTAGCAGTGCCACCTTTTCCAGGCCATGAACAAGGTGACACCAGCCGAGACGCTAACCATTGTGGAACAAATACTGTATAAACGAACTCTCTCTCCCTGACACGAAAACACAAAATTATTGATCAACGTAAAGTTTAAGCGAAAGAGATCCTGAAATTACTGTACGATTTACCACCTTTTTTCCTAATCTGTGTAACCTATACGTTCTTATGTGTATTCGTCCACAATAGATAAACAGTTCCAACTATCCTATTAAAATAAAAAAACTCGTCGTCCATCGAAACCACACAGTTAGCTCTTTAGCAGTCAGTTTTAGAACATATATTACACCTCAACGTTTTTTGTACGACCCGTTCCATACTACAACTAAGGTTCATCAGCGATTTCGAGGGGAAGAACAGTCAACTATTGCCGAAAATAAATTTTCAGCTTAATTCTTGTACATGGAGTAGTAATTGAACTTTGATCGTATCGAGTGCCCATCCAGATTGACAAAAATATGAAATTATGCAGAGAAGGAGGATTATGAATACGACAATGAAATTGGCGGTAGTAGATCGAATGGCGCAGTCTTGCCGGACCAAGAGTTCCGATAATAGTTGAACTGGAGTGAACGAGAATTTATGCTTGACTGTAGCGAACTTACATTTGTTCATGTATTATTTATAGCCGACATTTAGAAACGGATTCTAAAACAGACAAACGGATATGAACAAGAGAAGAACCAGTCGTGAGGACACAATTTTGAGGAAGTGGAATAATCCACTGGCATGGCATCTCAATTGAAATGTTAGGAATATTAGAGTGGGCTATTGGAGCTACTGTCCTTTTCTTTTATCACATCTTATTGAGTTCAGTGAAATGACAAGAGACTGGTTGAACAAATACTGGATCACCTTCATTTGGCCGATGCAAGCAGGGATTAACAATTCCATTTACTGAACTTATCTATAGAAACGTACATCGCTTACACCGTTTAGAAGACGAGTCACATTCCGCCAATACGCTCTATCCGAGAAGAAAGTCATTCAAAACGTCTAATAAAGGTGGCTGCATAGAAATGTAGAATTGTGGTGCAAGCAAGAATGGTGCACTTGCGAATTTAAGGTACAGCTAAGTGTGCGATGACTAAGACACTAGATGGTCTACTGGATGAAAGTAGGAATCTCTACAGCAGTAACAAATATATGACTATCTCCTTTACCGAACTTGTTTTAGAACAAAGCATACGTGACAAACCCGTGAAGAAAGAGAGCAGGAGCTCCTTAGCATGCCAGTGTAATTCCCACGATATATGACGCTACACTGGCCAACAAGGTGTTCAGGACGAAGGTGATAAAAACCACAACTAAGCTCTTAGTGAAAACAAGGACCAAATCGTTTCTTATTCTCTAGACGTCAGAAAACTAGAAAATCCTAAAACGTTTAATCTTCTCTATAGCTCAGGTATCTGTTGATTTTCTTTTATCAACATTCAGGAGGACTTGGTGAACGCATGGAGAATACACTTTTAGGTGGGATTATATTATAACACCATGATACAAACTACATAAACAATTATGAAGAGCACTGCATAGATGGTGGTACAGGCACCAAGAAAATCGGAGTAACACGCAGACATTGCAGAATTTGTCTAAACCGTTTTAATAATAGTTATAAAGGATGTCATTTGTAGGTGGTAAGTTATACAGAATGTCAGTGTAAAACAGAGACAAAAATTTCAAGTGAAAAACTGGTCCATAGTATTCACGAAATGTATACACTTTCAACAGCCCAAGGATCATAGATCAACCTCACCTTGACGAGGTGACACTCACAATTATCGGACTTCGATGTGCAAATGCGGATGAGATATCTTAGAGGTTCTTCACCAACAAGAGTGTGTGTTACTCCAACCGTACATTAAACAGGGAAATCTCACAGTTTGTTAACTGTGATATGCGGCAAACAGCTACTTTTGGACGCCCATCATAGCAAATGTGGTGGAAAGATATCGCTATCGATACAAGACGTATAACAAAAGAAGCATCGGGAAGGAAACACATGGAGACCAATGCACGCAGCTGTCAATACACTAAGTCAGTGAACATCAGAACTGTATCACATTCGTACAGGGAACTTATTTTCTGGGAATTTGGAACAACCGTGATATAAAATATAAAACAAGTTTGGCATTAGTCTCTTTATTTGTTAACACATTACGATTACATTACATTACGAAACTTCATTAACTCGCTTTGATGAAGAATCGTGCAAGTCCCAAGAGAGAGCTTTTCAATTTTTCGCATTAGCACCTTCCTAGGTCTTCATCACAGGTCTACCCATGTGAATCGGACGGAGATTTGGTATTTGGCCACTAAGCTACTAACCAGGACGGCGATAATTCCTACATTGGCCTACTGAATTCCGGATGGAAATTTCGAACTAGTTATCCTAGTTGGGTAGACCATTCTTTTAGCTCGAACCCAGAGACATTCTTAACTCATGATGAGGCGTTAAACCATTAGTGTGGTATCTTAGCACACGAATCAAATCCTTATAAACCAATGAATAAATGTTAATTAATTAGCAACACAATTAAATAAATTCTCAACAATACAACAGAACGAAAAAAAGATTCTAACTAAAAATAAGAGCAGCACTCACGCTAGCTCGTGGCACTTTTGCAGCCTTTCTGAAATTAAGACTCAGAGGACGACGGGCCACTGCTATTAGACGAAATCCGTGTTGAGCGTATTCGTTCACAACTGTCTGAAGAGCACTTCAACGAAGCATGAGGAAGCACTCTTAATTTTCACTGTTAACGAACAACACTTAAGTGCACTCGAAAACCTCACGAAATAATCTTCTGGTATTGTTGTTGGGTTGCATAGGGAGTGAACCATTTCAGGAGCTCCTTTACAATAAAGAGTCATTGAATGAGAATCCTTGGAAGGATTGAAAACTATGACCGACATTCGTTGAAGTGATGAACTAAAATATTCATTAGTAAAAAATAAGTAATAAAGCGGAAGCAAAAAATTCAGTGCCAATCTAGTCACAAAATCCAGTTCCCGAAAGATTTGTTGGGTATATCAATAGTGCTGAATACAGTGGGAACATATAGAGAGAAAAACTGAAGATCTATCGGTACCACAATGAAGAAAAGGTACTAATGACCGGAGTGTTCACAGAATATCTCAAATGTGCCCGAAATGGACACGCTTCCTTTCTTCTATTAGCGCACCCAGAAATCAATGCAAGATAGGCAATTTTACTTTTTTTTTCATGTGTTAACAACAATTCTGTTATAAATGCTTCACTGCATACACACCAATGCAAAGCTTATTTCATGCACTTCTGCTCTATACAACTGAGACGAATTTTAAACATTACAACTCCAGGTGTTAAAAGAGAAATCTCGACAAATCTACTTTTACGAATTCAAACTCGATTGCAGTGCAGCCCAAAGTGATCGAAAAATTAAATAGGCATGGAGCTAAAGAAGTTGACGAATGCAAGATGCAACGTATATTTCAAAAATTTCGTTATGGCTAATTCGACCTTAAAGATAACTAAGGTAGCGGATCTTCCTGCTATCGTAGATCATTACTGAAGGTTTAATTGGAGACCAATACATGCAGAACTGCTCACGTAAATGAAGAAGAAGTAAATGTAAGTACGTCAACTGTTTAAAGACATCTTAAAAAATTCGAAAGAAGAAGAAGCTCGACAAATTGATACTGCACGAATTGAATGATGTTTCTATATGATAACTGTCAGTCACACTTCGCATTATCGATGCTGCAAAAGTTGAACGAGCCGGGATACGAAGCTCTATAACGTTCACCATACTCGCTAGACCTCTTGCCTACCGATTACCACTTCTCCAGATATCTCTTCAAATTTCTGTACGAGGAATGCTTTAAAAACACAGGCGAGGTCGAGGCTCTCTTCAACGACATCACTGTCTCCAGAACCTCAAGGCTTTATAGAACTGCAATAAATTAACTCGCTTCTCAATGGCAGAAATGTGTAGAACGTAGTCGTTTTTATTTCGATTAATGGGGTAAATTCTGATCTAAGACATGCCGCTTTAACAGTCTTGAGATGACGCCTAATTTACCACTGCGCTCACTCTGGCATCAATAGATGGCGCATCGGCCACTCGCGAAAACCGTCGTGACATCTACAGGTGTCATTCGTCGAGAGTGTTAAAGATACACGTTAAAATCTTCCTTTAATTTCCGAACAAACTAATCAGCAACACTTCGATAAATAAGCAAATATTTAACCACAGAGCACAGCATATAATATTTGAAATACAAGTGATAATAGCAATAAAATAGTAAAAACGCGACAAAACAACATACCTGAAAGTAAAATGTCGGATAACTGAATACTCTTCATTGCTATCTCTAGCAGCACATTTCGGTGGTTTAACAACAGTAGGCTAAAATTTAAAAATGAAACATTCGCACTCCGAGGGGTTATTCACAAAAGAGGCAACAAATGTTATGGAAAGATCTTCAAAGAGCGACATCCACAGACAAAAATCAATGCTAAAATGTTAATAAATATATGCACTCTCAAAAAACGACATGTTCTCTCTTATCACTAATCCTGCAAAATATCCGAAATGGAAAACTTATTGTTAAAGTCTTAATTATATACCTGTACCATGTCGTACATCTCCGTCTCATCGTGATCCGCCTCGTCATCGCCGGCTTCTACAAGGATCCATCCAGTTTTTTGAAATAGTACGAGGTCAAGAGGATCGCCATGAAGAACACTATCAATTCTACAACAACAATATAACTACCAACAAAACATTAACGTGCGACATAAAAGTCATAAATAAGGAATGTTGGTTAAAAAATACGGGACACCTTGTGAGAGAATGACATGTGGCAATCGCATTTACGAGATCTCCTGCATGAGGCAATTCATCGCGACTCATACGACTAAATTCAGTGGTGAACATCGGCGGACGGTTATTGACAGCTGGTACGACAGCTCGGAGAACGTGAAAATCCAGACCATCTTCAGTCAATGTGCCAGTTTTGTCAAAACAAACCTAAACATAAAACATGAAAACGATAGCCCATACAGTCATAAAACATTAGAACAACGAAGAACTTAATAAGAAGGAACACTACTCCCATGTTATTTTCTATATATGAATTTAAAGGGATGTGCTATGAGGAAGAAATTGTTGTCCACTACTCTGCAGCGAGGCACGCATGTGACGCAGTGGTCGGAGGCGTCCTGCGACACATACGTGGTATCGGTCCCGCGCCCAAGATTCACCAAGCCTTCCATCCCTCCAGGGTCGGTAAATTGGTCTGGGAGGATAGCAGCACTGGCTCAATACAACAGCATGCCATCGCGTGTCATTGTAAAAGCCATATATGCATTCAATCACTTCCAGCGATGCTTAATGAAGTCGAATGCATGGCGCATGCCTCAGGGACTGATCAAAGCCAAGAGCTTTAGAACTTTAGCTACTCTGTAGTAATGCACAAGGACGCAAATCCATATAGGGAAAAACTCACAACGTTGATCGCTCCACAGGTGTTAATTGTCGATGGTGAGATACAAAATATCTCTTTCTTTTTAAGCCGTAGTTGTGAGTTAATGATTCCCACTGACATAGCCGCTACAATAAAAAAACAACTTGTTCGAGAATGAAGAAGAGCGTCTGGAAAATCTAAGACGGATCACAACGTACCAGGTAAGGCAGGTGGAACGGTGATTGTGATTATGTCTAACGCCCGTACGATGATACGACGTAGATTGCTTCCTCTTCGTAACATTATAACCACCGTGTAAACAAACCCACAAAGTGAAATACATCCGAGAAATCCCACGAACTAAAATGAACGATGCAAATATAATTAAGTCGACTGAAACAACTAGCGGATTGCATAGAAAATTCTCTTCAATTCAAAAACCAATTATTATGAGACGAAACATCCCCAGGGTATTCAAGGCAGTGGTATTACTAAATTAAAAAGAATCTTCATAATGACGTCCCAAAAACGAACACTGGCGAAAGAAGATAAAATTTAATTCACTGGTAAGGGTGTTTGTGGTACAGTGGTCGGAGGCGCCCTACAACACAAAGGATCGATCTCCGTGCCCCTAACCCACTAAGCCTTCAATTTCACCAGGATCGGTAAATTAGTACCAGACTTGTCTGGAAGGGTAGCATCACTGGAACGGTAGGTCACCTCGAGTCATAAAGGCCAGATATGCATTCAGTAACCTCCAAAAGATACTTAGTGAAGTCGAATGCATGGCACATTCCTAAGGGATTGATTAACACCGAGAGCTCTATCCATTTTTCTATCTTCTACATAAAATATAAGTTTATTCGTTGACTTATCAATGACATGCTGATGCTTTAGTTTTCATTGTTCGTCTTTTTTTTCACTGGAAAGAAATACTGAAAGAAAAGGTTTTACTGCAGATTCCCACTACAACAAAATGGCAACAAGCCAAAATATTTCGCATAATTTCTACATTTTCCCCTAAGCATATGGATGTCAATCAATGAGGTAAAATATGTGGGAAGTTTTCAAATAAATAATGTAAAGTAGCAACACTAAAAGCAAAAGGAATTTTAGAACGAAAGCATTTGAAGAACCGCAACAAATGTAGCTGAATGACTGTGAAATCGACTGGCAATAATGAAAGAAAGCACCCAAACCTTACAGGACTAAAAGATTTCACCATACACTGATGAACTTACCTTAAACAAATCCTTTGTGAAGCGAAAGTCAACGGGCTTCGGATACATTATTGATCTCACAAGCTGCCCTTTCATGGTAGAGAATCCCGTTCTAAGTACTACCGCCTTAACGAAGACGTTTTTTGAGAAACAAAGCGACATTGAAAACTTAATTTAAGATGTATTGTACAATATAAGTTGTGAGCACAAAATGAGATCATGCACAAACTCAGGAATTAAAAAACAAACGAACATTTGTGTTCTTCTCATACCTTCACTTTTTGACCTCGGTAATACCGCGTTTGAAGAACTTGTGTTCCACAGAACAGTACATTTTTAGAATGTTTTTCTGTAGACAGATGCGTTTCTTGATGATCTTCAACGAGAGAAACCTAGAACAAACATTCATACGCCTCTAAAACAGCGGTTACATTATAATTCAGAGCAAAATTCGTAGATTAGAAAAATTTCTAGGCGGCCAAAGTTTAAAGACTGCTGAAAATCGCAATGATAGCAGACTTAAAACTAAGCGTAAGACTTCTACGTATAAATCACGTTCCCTATCTTACTACAGCATCCATCTAAAGAATTTCCTTTAGATTCATACGTGCCTAAAATTACGCTTTCAACTCTAAATAAGTGTCTCCTAGTCTATAGCGAACTTTATTGATTGGAATAAAGACTAATAGGCTCTTTAAGTTCTCGCTATTTTATTCATGACCTAAGTTTCCTTACACAACCAAGAAGGAACTCGAGTCTTCTCTGCCCCAAAGGATATTTCTTTGCTCTAACTTTTTATCAACGCTGATATTAACAAGCGAGCTGTTACCCAGCACAAATGGTCCCCAATATATCTTTGATGTAGACGGTTGCATAAGTTACATAAAAAATTTTATAAACCTCGATTTTGTTCCGGTTGGTTTTAAGAGTTGAAATCCAAACAGATCGAAAAACGAAAGAAGAAAAATCAGAAAACTACTTATACCACTGTGGCAATAAGGTAAGGCATATTTTAAGTCTATCAAGTATAATAATTCTACAAGAGATCAGATCCGAAACTTCAAATTTGAAGCGAAACTTAAATTTCAAAAAATCGTAACGGAATCACGATACAGCCATAAACAGCAATGACACGATAACGAACATCACCGGATCCATGTGGAAGAAATCCTGCTATTTCAGTTGCTATTGTTTTTGGAATACATGGACAAAAAAGTGAAGAGAATATGGTTGGTGAGCTTCAGAGCATAAAAATTTTCTCTTGGTAGAACAGCAGTTCCATACGTTTGGCAAAGGTCTACAGATGTCAGAGGTTTTTATTTCAACCAATAAAGTTCATCTTAATCTAAGACATATCTGGTTCAACATTGAAAGCTACCCACTTTTGACACCGTAAGAGTGGAGATCAATTCACATCAGATTCTTTGTATTAACGCAGATAAAACAAAAACAAAAACCAGCACCTTTGTGACAGGGACCGATTCTCCTGTTAACATACTTTCATTAACAATAGCTGTTCCACTCATTAGTACAGCATCACATTGAAGAAGACAACCATGTGGTGGAATTAGAAGAATGTCACCAGGAACAAGCTGAAGTAGCCGTTTTCAAAAGAAAATCTACAAAACTCTCAAAATGTCTTGCATAGTATTGAACCAATATGAAGACCTGTTCACTGTTGATACGCGTTACGAATCCACCGTTCCTAACCACTTCAACTTCACTGCTCGAATGAACCATTGCCCGTAGCCTAAAGTATACAATCTCGAAGTGATAAAACCGAATCTTGGGAAAAAATGGTCTTATCAACCAGATAATTAATAAACCTAGTAATATTAGGAAAAAGAGTGACCTCTTCTCCTGTCCCCGCGTTTGATAAACATCCATAATTATTGAACAAACTGACATGAGAACAATAACCGAGGCATAATAACAATATTCATCACTATACCAAATAGTGACACTGAAAAATCAAGAACTGCATTTGGACCCATAGAGGGTTGGCCCATATCCGAGAAAAAAAGTTCACCTGAATATTTGAAAAATGTAGAACGGAGAAATGACCTCCATGAATAACAGCACAGGAATCGAACGAAGTTTAATTTCTATGGAATTTAACCCGTAAGTAGCAAGGCGTTGAGAAACCTGAATTCTAGCACGCATCAATAATGGGAATAGGGCATTGAAGGGACTAAATAAAAATGGTACATGGAAAAGAAACCTCAAGTTCATCAAATCCCGTCCCTCGTGCAATAATATTGTGAAAAACGTGAAGAGGAGACTGAAAAATTTGGTACAATTCTAATAAACATAATTTTATTTTCTGATTAGGGTTTCAGTGTGTGAAGCACATAAGAAGCATTATTGGCATCCTATAATTAATAACTTGCAATATACATCTTTTCCTTCGCTTAAATGTGTCTTCAGTTTCACAAATTATGAGATACTAGTGAGTATTGTTGAGGTAACCCTATTCAGTGGACACTGCGCACACCACTCACAAACTTTTCAAAAAAGTAAGACTTGGGTAAAAACTTCTGTTCGTAGTTAAATATACCAGTTAAAATATCTTTCCACTGCTAAATTGATAATTAAGTTAATTTAAACAAACTGCTACGCCACTCCTTTCCTGAACAACCCTTCATAAGCATGAAGTCTTTTTACAGACCATCGGAATTCATTTCACTTGTAACATTCGAGCAACACATTTTAGTGGGTTTTGTTCGCATGTGAGAGATGAGACCGTTGCACTTCTTGGTCACTGTCTCAAGAAATCTCACCATTGGATGTTCGATGCTTTCGTAGATCGTTTGACATCCCATAATACCATCTATTAATGGCCGCACCAGCCTTCGTTAAGACAAATCAGATTTTTCATGTCAAATATGCGGTAGTCTGCTTTAGCTCCGATTGTTGACTCAAGTCGGAACCACTGTTCCTTCACCAACCTCTCCCTCTCTCACAAACTCGTAATTGGAGGAAGGAATCGTGGACACTTCTTCTCCATAGTTTCAACCTATACTCATCGCTTTCCTGCGAAGTTTTACAGAGGCTGCGAACAAGTTGGCAGTAATCAGCAGCTTATGAGGCCTTCGCTGACGTTTTGGTTCGAGAAGTATGAGAAAAATGCGTCATCTAAAAACTTTTCACTCATCGCTCTCTAAAACATTCATCACCCTTTTCGATATTTCTCAATGTTGTAGTCGATAACATTTACCCAATACTTAGATAACTTCTCTTTCTATCCGCTGTACGCTAGTTCGTATGTCACCATATGAAATTTATTAAGTTATTCTGAAAAAAATGAAGGCATCCAAGTCACTGTAGATGATACCTACCGTGTGGAATTTCTCAAATTTCATATATTATAAAATGAGCCGACGCAGAGATCGCCACTATAGTCCCTTTAAATGTTGGAACCTTGGAAATGGGCAAGCTTCATAAGGCCAGTTCACCAAGATCCACTAAAGACTCTCCAGTTCCACTGTTTTTGGCTAACCAGTAGTTTTCCGGGTTTCAATATCAGAAAAAAAAAATTTGTTATTGGACATCACTTGAGTTGCCTTCCATGCACTTCACAATCATCTGTTGGCAGCGGCATAAATATGCATGAATAAGTCTACATATATCCAAGAGATAAGTCAATCAAGCGCAGCAGAGATAGAGAACTCACTGACGAAAACCACACGCACCTCAGTGAAAGAATAAAGAAACAAATTCCGTCGTCAAACACATTAGCCACTTCTTGTGAGATGTTTTAAAGCGTTTTTAAAACTTACAAACAAGTACCTAGGTTTTCATTTATTCTTGTCACTAACACCTTTTATTTCCTGGTGATGTTACCATCGCTTGGAAGAGTGCTTGTTAAAATGATTAACCAAACCCCATGAAAATTCTCAGAATTGACAAGATGAAGACAGTACATGTTGGAAAGCCATAAGAACCAGATTTCTCTGACAAAATAAAATCGAACATTGATTTTTCCCTTTAGACTAAACTGAGCAACGGTTACCAAACAGTTTCTATAAATAAACTATTGACAGATCGTTTTATCTTGCAACAAGTACGTCGGACAAGGATCATTTAAATGAACTGATCAACTTCTACATCACGGGAGCATTTGGTGCGACGAAGGTGTGAAAAATATTAAGCATGGAGGCTAAACATGATAGGGTCGTGCTAATAAGACACTGCAACGCTCGCTACTCATAAAAGCCAATGGTTTTTGAACAATGTTCCTGAAATAACCGTGCTTCTTATCCCCAAGACCAACTTCTATTAACCTCGGTATTGATCGAATGATTCTTTATATTCTTGTTTAGCAAACATGTTATTTTAATTCCTTACTTACGCACAAGCTGACGTTTCGGTGGACTTCACCTTCCTCAGGGCCTGGAAAGGTCAAGTTGACCGCAATTTACCCAGTCAAACGCCAAACATAGAATGTGCTAAGCCAAGATTTCTGTACGGTTATGGAGGTGTAAGGCTGGGTACACTGTGGTCAACTTGACTTTTCTAGACCCTGAAGAAGGCGAAATCCGCCAAAACGTCAGCATGTGCGTAATTAAAGAATTAAAATAACACCTCTTGTTTGCTAAACAGGAATATAGGAAATTGCGCTATTTATAGCTAGATATAAAAGAAATAAGCTAGTTGAAAAAAGTTGGTACAAAAGTTATTCAAATCCCTGAGCTGCCAGAAATACGCTCAATATTACTTAGAACATACATTTAAAGTAGGTAAAATTGTTAAAAGTGTCAGTTGCATCGTTTCCTGGACCCATAGAAACTAAAACGCGTTTCGAAAAGCCAGCCAAAAACGGGAAAAAACATGAACCACAACTCGGTTGCCGATAAACCAACAGACAGAAGAAATGAAAACGATAACTAACGTGGCTAACAGTGTCCCCTGGTGCAACCCAATGTCCATCTCTTTCGTCATCGAGGTTAATTTTCCCCTCTTTTTCAATCCAAATATAGTGTAACTTCCTATACACGAACCATCGCACCTCGTCCACTTCTTGCATTGACCCATCCTCACGAGGTACTATCTAAAACAGAAGATATGGGCACGAGAGATCCACTGATACAGCAATATTTCATAATGTACAATCCAGATTCTGGTCGCAGTTCAGAAGGCGGCCGTTTCCCTCTCTAGAAATATTGCACTTTCCAACGGTTTACCGCCTCATGGTGGCTGGGAGGTGTTCCTAGGTGTTGGGCCGCAATGCACAACGGGAGGATTCATCCCTGGTACGGTTTCCAACATGAAGCCTAGCTAGGTAAAACCATAACAGGATCCGTCACCGTCCTAGTATCAAAGTAATCGTATGGTGGCAAATCTCCCTCTAATCCACAAGGGCGGCGACTGCCTATGGTGGTGACGACCTGGGGCAAACTTTGGCCTGGCTGACCTCGGGACTCCAGAGAACCACAGCGGCTAAACCTGCAAGACACCGAAAAAATGGAGATTATACTGGGGTCCGCACCAGCAGTGAGGAAGAGTCGTCCAAGCATCCAAGTAGGTAAGAAATATTGCAGGGAGCATGCTCTTCGTTAGTTTTTACGTCGATTCTTGGACGAGAATGATAAAAACGAATAATCTGAAATAATCATAAGAACTCACTAGAGGAGGAGAGTTGAGACTTCTCCGAGTAGTTTTGATTTCATGGAATTCCTCAACATTATGATCGTCTCTAAACATCATAGCTCGCCCAGGAATCCTAATACAAGAAACATTTGAAGGACACTCACATGATATATACAAAATCAGCAAAGGCAAATGTCGTACGAGTAGCACGGAACCGGATATGCCATCTTTGTTTCCAATGCAGAATTAAGCGAAATAGCCCAAGAGTTGCTAATGAGAAGACATAGAACAGACCCTTAATTGACTTACGACAGCTACAACAACAAAGGGAGAAAACAAAGCGATGACCTGAAAAAAGGAACGAGTGGATATACGAAAAAATTTTACGACTCACCATTCTTAATGAACTGGACCTATAAGCATATAGATGGAGTAGATGCTCTCCAGACTCGAGAGTCAAATGGTGGCGACGACCGCCACCTCGCTCTCCCATGCCCTAGTAGCGGTCAGTTGAAGCGGTTACCTGCAGGAAACTTCTCAACGACTGCTTTTCAAGAAGAAGGCAACTGTGTTGTAAAGGACACTCGTTCATTACAAAGCACGGAAAACTTCGACATGATCGGAAACGCTGTGATGGAGGAGGGGCGGTACCCGAAAACCACAAATCAACGACGAAATGGAAAAGCTCTAGACGAACAGATAGTACCGATACGGCGGAGATGCAGATCGGCCGTTTTGCGACGAACTAAATAAGGAGAAAGATCGGAAAGTACTCTTGACAAGTAGTACCTACTGCATAAGATGAAATACAGAGAGCATAGCCAAAGTTGAATTCGGGTCAGCCCGAAAATTGTGCAACTTATACACAAGAGTGTGCAATTACGACACACCGAAAACTACGCATTTATGCTCAAATCCCTTAGAGAAGAGCGTTAGCATTCGACGATTTTCCGTTGGTTTAGTAGAATAACGGCTTTGTTATGTTGTGAGAAGGAAGTTCCGGATGATCTACATGTGCTATGGTCCCCGAGCAAGTAATGAGAGCTGCTGGGATTGTTGGGGAAGGTGGACGGTGTTGTTGTAGGATTTATCTTTAACTTGGTGAGGGATATGCAATCCTCATGGCGAAATTCTTAGCAGTAATCGGACTCAGCGAAGACTCTTCACAACTGAATGGTGGATCTTTGCGGTAAAACCACTCTGATCTGTGCTGGTCCAAACGTGGTTCGCCATCGGACCTCAGCTTGAGCAATCGAAGCGGCCACCTTGTAATCCCTGTGTCTTGCGTCTGCATATGTGGCTTTTTTGTTAACTGCTGATTGATAATAGCAATCAATACTGTGTGTAGTGTTGTACTGGTTCAGTACTAGAAGTCCTGTCACTAAGACAGAAGATCGTCTTAGTCCGGCAGGCAATATTGAAGACCAGGACGGATTGTGCTTTGTTACTGACGTGGTATTCGAACACTACATATTGCTCTTTTCGGTTCTATGAGCTTTTTATTCGCTTTGATAACTGGTTAGATAACAAAAGAAGGTCGAGCTCTTTCGTAGTGATTTCCAATGAAAATTTTGAGAAATGGAATACTTTGCATGCTTGTCATTAGGAAAACACACGTGAATCTTAAAAACAGGATACTTATTTTCTTGGACACTTGGGTGGCCCGTCCTCACTGATTGTGCGGTCCCCAGCACAATTCCATTTTTTCCGAGTTTTGCTGGTTTAGCCATCGTGGTTCCCTGGAGTACCGAGGTCAGCATAGCCAAAGTTTGCCTTAGGTCGTCACCACCACAGGCACGGTCGCCGTACTCGTGGATCAGAGGGAGATTTGCCACCATGTGACTAGTTTGATACCAGGAAGGTGGTGAGTATTGGCCTACTCTTACCTGGGTTTCCCGATGAGAACTTCTTCCCTTTTAGATTCCTTCCCAACTTGGGGGACCCTTTTGGTGGGACAAATTCCCCTACCGTAGATCGCAACCTGACACCAAGGAACACCTCCCAGCCACGATGAGACGGTAAACCGTTAGGAGGTAAAAATAGAATAGGCATCGTTATTTGGAGTAATTTCCTCTTGTGTTACGAGAAGCTAATTTATACGTATTCATGTTTTCTGGAATAAGATGTGAAGTATAAAGGCAGTCATAGAAACCACAGCCACTATGGAACGTATAATCGAGATAAACAACAATCTGAAATAAGAAGCTGCGTCTCCAATGTAGGAAACAACTGGAACTCCTATCGGTTCTCTAGAATAAATCAATCCGCCAACTAATGCATTCGTTTACTCGTTGGCTTCTCTAACGGTCGTTCACCTGTGTTGATTCGTGGAGAAAAGCAGTGGTGTGGAGAAAAACCAGTGAAAAGTTAAACTGGTGTATCCGAGAGTTTTCTGCGTAGATGGGTTGTATACACATCTGGCATATTTCATTCTCGTGGTCTTAAGACATCACTTCTGTGGTCATCAGTTACAAGGCAACGAGCGCAAAAATTTCAGATGTTCTGAGCTCTCAAAACAAGACAAAGACGAGTAACCTGCCTGAGGTCTGTGAGAAACGCTAAACTGCTGAGTCATGAACACAAGAAGATTTCTTAAATACTTGGTTGAAACGTTTTCGTGAGTTGCTTCGGTCCTGTAGAACTCTGCTATTTCTTAGTTACAACTAATATCGTGCCAACTGGGAGGAGCAAAAAGGGGCGTTTTGTTGAGGTATTCCCAAGTCCCCCTAATGATTTACCGACTCATCGTTGCTGGTATGTTCTTGGGTGTCGGACTGCGATACACTGGATAGCTTATTCCCTCAACAGGGCTTTCCATGCTCGGAGGATTTTGACGATTCCATCTGGAGGCCTAGCTAAGAGTCAACCAATACTAGAAATCACCACCGTCCTGGTACCAAATTAGTCACAAGATGGCAAATGTTCTTCTCCACAAAGCTGGGTGGCTACCTGTAGTGTGACGACCTGAGTGAAGCTTCGGCTAGGTCAACCTCTGGACTACAGGAAACTGCAAATAATTCAACCAGCAGTAAACCAGCCTCAATACTCTGCACACTGAGCGGCCACGTTTACAACGTCGAGCGGTACGAAAACCAGTGAGAGGCCATCAAATCCCGGGTTGCACAGGACGTCATTGGAACCGGATCAAATAAACACGCCCATGACACACTATGAAGACAAATTGTTCTCTGATTGCAGAGGCCACCTCCTACGTGTACCTCGACGTTCAGTGAATATGGAGGACATCATAAAGCATGGAAGACGGAGAGCAGTATAGGCCGCATCCGGCACTTTCAAGAAGCTACTGACCACCTAGCGGACGCAAAACTCTACGCTCCCCTTTTCGACTCTACACTTCTCCTAGCGCTAATAACAAGAGCAGATGACAGATGGACGAATAGAACCACAGTGGATTCCAAGAGAATGCAAGCGCTCCGTCTGACGACCACGCAAACGATTGCAGGGCATGCTTGTTACCAGCTTCAGGCATTTGGTTCTGGTGATGAGAACGATTTCAGGATTACGGAATATATTTCGCTGACGTCACCATGTTCAAAGTAAACTGCTACCATGGACGACGATTGCACGACAAAGAAACGATTGGAAAATCTTTAAGGAATGTGGAAATCAAAACATTTGGAACTGAACTATTCTTAACAACTGAGATAAAGATGACAAACAAACAAGGCATTTTTGATAAGACAGCAAGCGAATGCATGTCGTAAAAGTACAAATTTCGCTCTTTGCTTGAAAGGCATGAATGGGAGGAGGCAGGGGTAAAAGTGATTATGTGGTAAATATTAAGGTAACCATAGAGGAGTTCGGGACACCTATATAGATAGAAGTGAAATACTGTAGAGAGACTAGGAAGAAATCCTGACATCCTTTTTTCTCATTTGCACGCATCCCATCTCTTTACTTAACTAGTGTATTGGATGGGTTCAAGTGAGAATTCTGGTCGTTTCCGTTTTGTACTGTGGAATCACAGTGGACTCAAGAAGCACGAAAACTGTGTTTGCATGCAGTATGTTGGTGAAGGATGAGTGCGTGTGGCGCAGTAGTTGAAGGCACCACTGCAACACGCACGTGGAATCGCCCGGCAATACCCATGGGATCGATTCCCGCACCTCTGGCCCGTCAAGCCCTCCATCTTTCCGGAGTCGGCAAATTGGTACCAGACTTGTCTAGGAGGATAGCAGCACTGGCTCGATATATCGGCAGTCCACCGAGAGTCATAGTAAAAGCCAGATATGCATTTAATGACCTCCAGCGATGCTTAATGAAGTCGAATGCATGGCGCAATCCCTAAAGAATTGATCAATGCCAATAGCTTCATCCTTTTTATTATTATGTTCGTGAAGGACTCTGCCTACTAAGATGATAAACTCATTAGTTCTCTTGCTTGCAGAATTCAACTTGTTGGATGGATGCCTGCAACGTATTTTATAAGAAGCTCATGTGAGATTATTGTCTTCGCAACGACTGCGTTCGTGCGAGCTTTTCCCGTGTGTAGAGGCCGAAACTCTGCAAGAATGGCCTTTCTATCACACTTATGTCGTCGGCGGCGCATTCGTTGATTACATCGATCGCAAATCATTTTGCTGTACCAATCTTCTAGACGTACGTTAAATGTCTAAGGATTGAAGAGCTAACTAGGTAGTTCTGGATCTAGACCACTCCTCTTTTCAGCGGCTTCTGTTCTTTGTCATTGCTTCTTGTCAGACGTACGAGTTTTCTATGTCACCTTTTTCCTTCTGTACTACATTGACACAAAATCGTTGGAACAGTAAACGACGAAGCGTCCGGTGTTGATCAATACCTAAGAGATGCGTCGTGTATTCAGCTTCGCCAAGCATCGTCAGAGATGACTAAATGCATATCTCGCCGGTATAATAACTTGTGCCGACGTACCTGCATCAAGTCACTGTTTTCGGTGACGTACCGATCTACTCAATCAGTGTTTTATCCTCGCAGAGATGTAGTCTAGCACCAATTTCCCGACTCCAAGGGGATGGAGGACGCGAGATTGAACCACCGTTAGATCGAGTGTGTACAGAGGAGCATCTATAACCACTGCGCTCGTTATACGCCCGCTCTCAATACCATTAGCATTATATACCTCACGAATTAATAAAGTAGATTGACCACGACAGCCGCTGCCTCTTCCCAGTTTTTCCGATTTCCTTAGTTTTGGATCTTTGTGTTGACAGAGTTGGTCGATGTTTATCATCGTCAACGTAACGTCACGGAAAATGGACGTGGATGACAAGAACACATCTATGTATGCTACAATTTTTTTCTATTGCTACTTGGAAGCAAACATTATTCCATCAAGGTGGGAGCAGGTGTTCATATATATATATATATGTATGTATATATGTATATACATATATGTATATATATGAATGCTTAAATAGCCCGTCTTTACTGGTTGTGTGAACCCTAGCATAATTTCCACATTTTCAGAGTTTTTCTGGTTTAGCCATTGTGGTT